TCTCTTTTCTTTCCAGACACACGAGGGACCAAAACTCACACATTTATTAGGCCTAGATGGCTGATAAATGCAGAATGGATGGAAGGCCCAGCAGTCAGAGCACTTGCCTGCATGATGCCTGTTTTCTTCTTGGAGGCCAATTCAGGTATCCTCCTCCCCACCTCACCTGCACAGCACCTTTGCCACACACTCACACGCCTCTCAAGGGCCCTGCACCCTGTGAATGTCATTCTGTATCTCAGTACTAACCTGTAAATTCCCACCTATTTACTTTCCTCCGGCTTCTCTCATATTTGTGAAGTCTTTGGAGCAGAGATTAACCGTAAGAACCTGGAATATTCTGAGTTCTAGTGCAAGTAAACCAACAAACAGCAATGCATAAGCATGCAATATGTATATTAAGCCAAGCATACAGCAGTCATCTCTGACAACAAAAGTGAGGCCAGTAGCTTCTTCCCCTACAGTGACAGAAAATTTGCACTTTGGGGTACATCCACTGACCAGGAAAACATTCAGATTTGCCTTCTCTGGCACCCACTTCCTCCTTCCCCCAGCACATTATCCATTTCTGAAATCCATGCCCCACTTTTTATTATAAATTATTCTAATGGGTTTTGTGGCATGGCAGAAATCCAGCACAGCCTTCAGAAATACGCATGCACACACTGGCTATGCAACAACTTCATTTTATAGGGCTTTCACAACAGCCTGGTGCAAAGTCTATAGGGATTTGGCAACCTTTCCTAGCAGCAGCCCCGTGGTGGTGACCCTTTCCTAAAGGGTGCTAGATGGATGCATTCACCTGCAGTATTCCTCTCTTTGTAGAAGAGGGATTTTTCCTTAATGCCTCATTAAAGACAGGGAAAAGTGTTCAAGTGGGAATTTTCCCTCCACTGTTTTTCAGGTTGAAGAAGTGAGACTTGGGGATGACAAAAGGGTGAGAGAAAACATCTGCAGTCCAATGCAGACCTTTCTCACTTCAACCTTCTTCCGAATGGAAAGATATAAGATAGCCTGGGTTATAGCTCCAGCTCCTTCAGAAACAGGGTTCAAGCAGGGAAGAAAGGGAAAGATAAAAGGAAAAATGAAATCACAGAAAAGCCCCCGAGATAATAAGGATTTTCAGCTTTTTGGGGTAGCACAGGCTACTTCTTTAGCTGTTGAAAGAAGCCCTGTGCAGTTTGTTCACTCATCCTCTAACAGCTCCAGAAGGAGCTATGGCTTTCCCATAAAACTAGTAAGAAGATCTGATTCCCACAGTGAGGAAGGAGAATAAGAAGAGCCCACAACAACAAGCAATTTAAACACAGAGCACTACCATCTTGTTAAATAATACGTTAAGAGCTCATCTGCAAGCCTGTCTTGGCCAATGAGGGACATAAATCAGGAAAATACAGTAATACTCACTAGCATGCAATTAGTCACTGCTGTTAGCATTTTAACTCTGGATTTCTTGGATTAAAACATTTCAAACACTGTTGTTTTATAGGAGTGATAGGATAGCTGTCCAAGCACCACAACCAAATTATGCCACCAGGACATTCGGGCAATGGATTATCACAGCAAAGGAAATGGATTATCACAGCTTTTATTCTGAACAAGGGAAGAGTATCTCATTTTGAACATGGCAGAGGGGAGAGTAGAAGACTATACCTGAGGGGTTTTAATTTTATTCCCTGCCCCTTTTGGACTTTCTGAGGTGGAAATGCCACAAAAATCTGTCAATGTGAAAAGACAGACACTGCCTTTCCCTAGAATTTGCACTGAAATATCTGAAAAGAGGGAATAAATCAGCCTCTTTGGATTGTCTGAATGCTGGAAGGATGCCCTGTTCCTGGGCATTCTCCCACTGCGTATCTGGCTGCTACCTCTTCCACTTTCTATCAGGCAATAATCATCACCACCACAAGGCCTAGAGACTTCGGCTCTGTTCAGGAACTTTACTATCACATATGCTCATTCTCACAGGAAGGAGGGCTGCTCTCCTTCAAATTAGCAGGTTCAGCAAAGAATTCGTGTTATTCCTTTAAAAATGTTTAATAGTTTGAAGGTTCTCCTAAAAAGGCTGCACCTTTTATCTTCACATCACCACAGAAAATCCATCTCATTTTATAACTTCGTTCTCACACTGCATCACAAACCAAATGTTAGCTTTTTTAACGCCACAAACCTTGTTTGTTTTTTTTGTAAAGAGTATTTTGGTACCTTCAGCACATACAGACATACTTTTTGGTGCATGGTATTCAAGAAGCCCTGATTCTGACCTCAATTTCTTTGGCAACAGCCAAACATCCAGCATAGGATGAGGGAAAACCCAGTAAGTCTTTATAACATCCCTGCGATGCAGTCTGAGAAGTCAAGAGTAGCCATGATATACTGAAGACAAGACTAAAACAGAGAAGACACACAAAAAATAGAACAAGAAGAACATATATATACACATATATATGTGTATATATATATATAAAACCGAGCTCCACAAAGCATAGAATCAGCAAACCTCCTGCTTTGCTACAGCACAGGGCACGTGCCTGAAGCTGATGACACCTGGGTATTATTTCTGGCTGTGGTCCTGACTCCTTCAGGATGACTGCTCCAACTCATGTCACACCTCCAACAGGCTCTCCCTTCACATTTTCCTTCTGGACTATGGGTCAGCAATGGTGAACCTTTTCTTTGCCAAGGGCAAAGAACACTAAATATTACTGGCATCTCATACCTCAACATGTGCCTTAGCACTGCATGACAGCAGCACAACCACTCACCATACCAAAACCAAGAAGTGTGGGCCACAAAAATCAGGAGCTGGATCCCCCAGATTTCACATTCCCACTGTAGCTTTTTAAGGAATGCTCGGTTGCTATTTATTTGTACCCTGCATAGAGAAGTGTTATTTGGAGCTGTTAATGTGATTCAATAAGCAAGCAGCAACACTGGTACTTGATTAAAACTAGAAAGAACAATAAATGGGGAGAAAATTGGCTGGAAAGAAGTGGAGAATCAAAACTAACAGAAAAGGAATTCAGCAGGACAGAAAGAAGGAAAGCAGATGATTAAAAGACTATTAGAAAAAAGAAAACCAAAAAGGATAACCAAGAGTGACAAAGGCATCCACAGGAGTATCTGTTGAACGACTTCATTTCAACATAAACTAGGGTGCATTTTGTTTTGGTTGTTTTGTTGGTTGTTCTCTTTTTTAAAATGAGAATGTTGAATTTGGATAATCAAACAGCAGTATTTTATTTTGCCCCACAGCAAAGATATGAATATAGGCTTTTAAATCTTGAAGAGGAAGAAATCAAGCTCTCAACACACTTGTTCTCAGAACTAATGCTTTAACCACATCAGTAACAGCTTAGGAAAGGACAGCAAAGTGACTACAATGCCTTCTCTATCTAGGAGCTGGTTTTTTCAGAGTCACCATTACTGCTGTAATTTTGCAGTTATGAAAGACTTTATCCTCATCATTTCTTGGGTTCCTCCCTGTTTCACACAACAGGAGCTAAAAAGGGTTTGTGTTCAGCTGAGAGCTCTTCATCCCCCGTTTTTCTTCCCTCCACCCCACTCCCACTCCCCCTGTGTTTTTAAACTTAACTGGACACTCATGGCAATGCTGAGATAGGAAGCACTGTGGATCACTACAACTAGAGGCAAGAATTTTAGAGAATGGTGAGTTCACTTGCACGCTGTCACTCCAACTCCCCCACCCTTCCTGTGACTTCACCTGCTCATAATCATTAGAAAGCGGAATGTCATTTCTAAGCTGTAGCTGAGCACTAAAAGCTTAGACATTGGCTTTCACTGGCTCTAGAGATTAACAGAAACAATAAGGCATAGGGAAAACACACACATAATTTTGCCAGTCTCTCAGTAAAAAAGGTTTGGGTTACCAAAGAGATAAGAGGGAGGCTGTCCATTTTATCTGTGCAGCCGGAGCAGCGAGTTTACATTCACTGGAACCACGCCCCCATCAGAATTCCCTCTGAAATGTCAACACAAGCCATATTATTAATTTTCCAAGTTGCTGACCTTTACTGTTGCTTGCATCATAAATCCAGCATTCTGAACTGTTTCTATTAATACAAGAACATGCTCCACACGCCTCACTGTATCTGCACTCTGTACATACGCTGCTCACATGTCACAAAACAGATGCTCCCTACAGTGTCCCTGGAGAAGCTTCTGAGTTGGACCTTCCTAGTTCCATGAAGTCCACTGGACTGCCATTAGTTATGCTGCCCACCACTAAGGCAGACAGGTTTCCCCAAAGCTCTTAGTGTATCTTTACTTTAATAAAATGTTTCAGAGTATTTTATCAAGGGTCGTAGCATACAGATGTATTAACACAAAAGAATTTTATTATGAACTGAAGTTTAATTTCAGTGAGGAAGAAGAAAAAACAAAAGTCCTTGGGTTAGATAACAGCCATTCCCGTTTACTGTTCCTCCCAATTAAAATGTTTTATATAGATGATCAGAACTTAATGCATCATACATGTTACACAGTACTCAACATAAGGCTGTCGATCTGTCATTTCTCTGTAGGCACTTAATGTGATGAATGATCTGGTTACTTGTCTTTCTGGTATAAAAGCAGGAGAAGCTTTGAGACAAAGAAATAAAGGCCAATGGATATTACAGATCTTACAGTGATTAATATCAGCCCTCCTGACTCACATCTCTGAAAACAGTTAAAGTCACTATTTCTCTTTCATTTTTTTTACCGTGGATTTCAGCGCATCTCATCAGAACTCTCCAAACACTTGAGATAATCTAATTTAAAGCAGAAGCAGGGATGTCAGGAACATACAGCATTAGCGCTACAACAATGCCACACCAGCATGTCATAAGAAAAAATAAGTGACCTTCACTCTTGCCTCTACTGACAAACAGACACCACTGAAGCCACTTGCAGGCCAGGATGTTAGTGTGATTTCTGAAAGACAATCTAATAAATAAGGATTTAAAAGAGTTAAAAAAGAAAAAACCCTGACTACTTACTGTCTGAACTGAAAAACCTGCCTTTCCAAATCAACTAATGGTTTGGCAAGCCTACATGAAAAGCAGACAAACAAACAGCATCTTTTCCTTTTAACATGGAATCTGCAATAAGAAATCAGCATTTTATTGATTTCCATAATGCCATCTCTACAGCTTAACAAACTCACTCAGCTGCTAATGCTAATTCACTGATGCTATGGAGCCTTCCGTATAATTATACACCCTCCACTCCGCTGAGCCCCAGGGCACTGTTTCTAACTTTCCAGAGGACCACTGCACTGAAAGCAGAAACAAAAAAAAACCCTTTCATTACCCAAAGCAAACTGCAAACCAAATTTTGCTTATTTAAATGGGAAATTAGAGACACTTCATTTTTAAGACAGGGAATAATCTGCTAGTCTGCATCTATTTTTGGATTCAGTATCGTGACAGCAAATTCTCATTTAAACTCTCCCCACCCCTATTTTTTTCTTCCCGAGACTATACAACAATATAGCATATAAATATTGCAACAATTACAATTTCTATGAAGAGATTCTAATGTCCTTCTCAGCTCACAATTGTTTCAAGGGGGCGATTCCAAATCAGACATGGAGACTTTTGTGAATGTCACTATAACTGACATTATAAAATGTTACCATTGCTATAGGGAATATGTATATTTCAAAAATATTTCAATAGGTTTGTCATTTTAAAAATAACCAACACCTGGAACACCTTTTAAATCAAATTAAAGGAAGATATCTTCTCTAAGTCTAGAATCTGAAATGTCGTGAATAATTAATGACAAACACTGTTATTTTTCTCCATTTCTCAACCATATTCAGCAGTCCGCAACCAAGCAGACAGCTCCAGCATACTTCAGTGAGAGTTTTGCTCAATCAGGGACTGCAGAATCTGGCCCAATTAATCTAGTACTGCCTATCTGGAAAGAATGTGGTGGAACTCTGCAGTGTAAACACCCTCCCAGAACGCCTGTACCTAATTCTCTTTCTTGCTCCCCATTTACCCTGCCTTGATGTTTCAGATCCAACCGTACTGTATTCACCATCTCCATCAAGAGTCAATGCACCATTTGAGCTAAAAACAGCTTAATTTTGCTATGCTTTCCCATGCGTGTATTAATTTGGAACCAGATAATGTATTTTGTCTGAGAATGGTGAAATGTCTGGATTTTTGTTCACCAAACAAGCTGACAGTATCAATATGGATTTAGAGAGCCTCTAAAAACAATTTAGTTTTCATAATTAATGTTAATTACAATAACATCTCAATCAGTGACACAAAAGCTTAGCTATGAATACAGTCATAGGAGGAAGTGAAAACATGAAACAAACATGAAAGAAATGTGTCTTGTTCTGGAAGAGTATCAAGCAAACTTTCAAGAGATTTATAAATAAGAACATGAAGGCAGAAGTCAGCTGTGCTTTGTTAGACATATTTTCTTTACAAGCTGCTTAGTCCAGAGCTTTCTTCTGAGATTGTAATAAGACAGTGGATTTGAGCTGTGGACACACCAGGTAATATTATCATTTTACAACTTCACATCCAGCCATTATCAACTGCTTTAAAGAAAAACAACTGAGGGCCTGATCCTGCCGCCAGTGATTTCAATAGAAAACATTTAAACAATTCAATGTGAATTGTTTGGGGGGGGTCTGGAGAAGGAGGGGAAGAAAAAAAACCCCCAAACAACTCCAAGGCAAACACAACACGTAGGTATGGATTCCCTCAGGCACAGAGGAATTTCAGGACAAGAATGAGTTTTTCAACTATTTTTTTCCTACTTTCCATAGCAACAAGGGAAAGCTAAACACACAGAAAACTTACCTGTTTCACTGGTAGCACATAAGCCTTAAACGGGGAGGGGGTTGGTACGGTCACTTAATAGAGCACCTTTACATTTAGTCCTCAGAAGTTTCCTTCGCCACCCAAGAAAAATAGTTATCCAATATATTCTTATTTCAAGGGAAGGGGGAAAATAAAAAAGAGTTATGAAAAAATAAGCACCACTCTACCTCACCCGGACCGGTACTGTTGTACACAAGTAGTCATACGAGCATCGAAGGGAGTACTTGCGCAGTAAAGTACCACTCAGCATGAGTAAGGGTGGCGTAATTGGGTCTGATGAGAGAAGGAATCAGAGCTTGTCACGTCACTACTATAGGGGCCTTCTAAAATCATGGGTTTCTTGATTACTTTTCACATTAATGCAAATTCACTCCATTAAAGTTAATGAAGTTACACCGTTGCTAAACTAGTACCAGAGGAGAAAGCAGGCCCACTTCATATTGATTTAAGAGACCACAGCTCAAGGACCCGCCCCCCCCCCCCCCAAAAAAAAGGCAAAATAACGATTTAATAAGTTTTCAGGTTACATTGGCCAAGTTACTCTTTGGGATAACGACTGATTTTCTGTTTGGTATCAGTCTCAGGGATGATTTTTTTTGTTTCCTCCCTCTCTTTGTAGATAGAAAGAAGACAAGATGTGTTGAAGGCTTCATTTCCTCTAGAAATTTGCTGATCTTAAGCATACTTAAGACTAGACTTAAGTAGTCACTGACTAAAGCCGTATTTACTACTTCTTATTTACAAGAGTGCTTGCCTTGAAAAAAGAAACTTTACGTGGAGGATTCTCAGAACGATGTTGGCCTTTCCTCTTAATAAAAGTTCAGCAGATTTATTTTTCAGATAACCGAGAAAGATGATTTTTGGAGCACTGTGAGGTTTGGTAAGCCTTCAATTCAGCAATTAGTTTCCATATGATATGAATTACAAAAGATCGAGCAATTAATATTAATAACTAAACCAGGCAAAGTACTGAGGCTTCAGATGCACTGTGTATGGAAACGCTGCTGGGGTTTTCCATGTATCTACTGTATTTTAGCTACTCCAAACGCATGGCACACGACGAACGCACACCACATTCACGTTGCTAAAAATACATTAAGGAGGGGAAAAAGAAATAAAAATCGATAGCAATGAAACAGAGACATAACCATTTTACATTGAGCTCTCCCCGCACCAATCCAAGCCACCAAAACTGCGGATTTCACCCTACAACACCCGCATTTTCCTGCCACGCCAAGTCAAGCCTAGGTAACAGCGAAGCATCCAGGCACGGCAGGGTGGGGAGGAGGATGGTGCACCTGAAATAAGAAAGGTGGGTTTCCCTGGTTTTCCATTAGGGCAGTATCCAGAGCCTGGGCTGGAGGGATCTGCTCGACCCGGGCAGCTTTCGGGAGCCCCTTACCCTTCCTATCCACCTTTGCCACAGCCTCAACCGCGGTTTCAAGCAGGAGTGGGGGAAATAAAATAGAAATTACAGACAAACGTGTCACCGGCAGCATGACATGCATTTGTAGCTGGCAACGACGCCGGGTTTTTTATATATATATATATTTAATGTCCCCTTTTTCCCCCAGTCCGAGGAGGAAAGTGCCTCCGCGGCCACTGCCAGGCTGCGCTGAGGCGAATGCCCCCAACTTTCAAACAGTTGGCAGCCAGGGGAGAGAGCCGGCCCGCAACCGCGCTCCCCCCGCCCGCCTCCCCGCACAACCGGCGGCTGCCCCGGCCCCTCGCCCACCCCTTACCCCCGCTTCCCTCCCATCCCAGCAGGCAGAAAGGAGCGAGCCCGGGAAGGCCGTGCCCGGCACTCACCCGCTCCGGGGGGCTCCTCGGCGAGCGCCGTTGAGGACTGTTGAGGGAGGCGGTGAGGGGAGCGGGGGGCGACCGGGGGTCAGAGGTGGGGGGGGGGGGGGAGAACGCACGGGTGAGGAATGTGAACCGGAGAGGAGGGAATCAGTTTAAAAGAGCGTGCGGCGAGGCGCCGGGCTGCGCGACGGAGGCGGCGGCCAGGCGCTGAGGCGGCTGTGCTCTATCCCATGCCGCTGCGGTGGCCCCGGGCGGCGGCGGCAGCCGAGCTAGGGGGGAAGTTGGGGCCGCGGCCGGTGGGGAGGATGTGACACCGTGACAAGTACGGCCCGACTGCCATGTACCGGGGGAGGAGGCGGGGGAGGCGGCCGCCCGCGCGCAGGGGGCCGGGGCAGCCCAAGCAGCGCCGCCCGCCCGCACACGGCATTTAACGGCGCTGACGGGCCCCGCCGTGACTCACACACGGGAGTTAGTCACAGGGCGGGACCGCGGAGGATGGCGAGGGACGGGGGGGGGGCCGTCCAAGCCCCGCCCTCCGGGCGCCCCGCCAGCCTATGGGGCGCTGCGGTTAGGCAGATTGACACAGTGGCTGGCCAACGGGCGAGCGGATCTGCCGCCAGCGCTGGAGCTGCCCCCTCGGCCCAATGAGTCTTCTGAGGACACTGCCGCGAAGTGCTGGGGAGGGCTGGAGGGATTCCCACGGGGCGGGAGCTGTGTCCTGGCCTGCCGCCGCGGCCAATCAGCATTGAGGATCGCGTTGATGGGCGGCTCGGTCAGGCCAATCAAAAGCGTGTGGGATACGGGGAGGGAGGGGGGAGAAGCGCCTGCTCCCACCCCCTCCCCGGAGATGGTCACGCAGGGAGCGGAGGGCGGGGGAGGGAGCGTGACTGGAGCCGGCGGGAGGGCGGCCTGGTACTGCCCGGGCCCGGGCCTGGGGGCGGGGCGCGGGCATGGAGCCGGCCCGGAGACACCGGTGTGAGGGTGTGGGCGGGGGTTACCTCACCGAGCGGCGGGGGGGATCATCGAGCTGGCCGAGGCGGGGGTTACCTCAGCGAGGGGGGACACCGGGCTGGCCGAGGCGGGGGTTACCTCAGCGAGGGGGGACACCGAGGCGAGGGTTACCTCAGCGAGCGAGGCGGGGTGGACGGAGTGGGCCCGGCGCCTCCGAGACCCCGGGGAGGGGAAGGGCTCGCCCATGGGCTGCCTGTGGAGCGGGGCGGTCGGGCGGGAGATGTCCGGGGCGGAGAGCGGCTCGCCCCCGGGCAGCGCGGAGCAGCCAAGGTCGTTTCCCGCGGGAGGAAGGAGATGGGAGCTGGGGCCTGCTCCGGGGGAAGCCGGGGCGGCCCCGCTGGCACCGGGCGGGGAAGGGCTGGCCGCGTGCCGGGTGGGAGGTGAAGAGCCAGGAGGGGACAGGGAAGGGGGGTCTGGATGCAGCCAGCTCGCTGTGAGAGCCTCGGCTTCCGCAGAGCAGCCCGGGCTTTGGAAGCGGGACGTTGGGTTTTGCTGGTGTTTGACAGGTGTCGTGGCTCAGAGTCTGAATATTGCCACTTCCTCCCCCCATCTTTTCTTATTTCTTTATTCTGACACGTTTTTAGAGAACAAAGTGCATTTCGGGTTCAGGCGTGTTGTCAGAATTTGACCAGATGAATGAAAGAATAAAAGTAATAGCTCTGACAGCCACGTTACAAAGCGGAATGGCTCTTGTGCTGCTGGGGGCAATTGACAGGAACGGTATCAGTGGTGTGAAAAAGCTACGCTGTTTTCACAAATGATTAATATTGGATGAATTTATTTTGGGTAGAGTGAGGAAGTAGTGCCCACTAGGAGTTTCCAGCAAATACTGGAGCCTTACCAAAAACTTAATCCCGGTGAAGGAAATGAGATGGTCAAATTGTGTTTCACCCCTTCATCTCTACACACAAACTAAGACCTGTGGGGTTTTGGGGTGGTTTTTTTTTCAGTAAAAGCATAAAATACCTGATAAACTGGTGTAAGTTAATGAGGCAGTGCTATCAGAATAAGGGACTACATTGGCATTCTCCCAGGCTCCAAAAATAAACAGTTTTGTTTGCTTTAAAAACTTGTTCCCTGGACAGAGCGATATAAATACAGATTTTTTCTTAGTTTGGCATCCGCAGTAATTGAAGAACTGAAAAACTACAACCTGCAATAATTTGTTCTTGGGTTTCTCTTTAGAAATAATGGTGCTAATTGCAATTTTTTTCCGGCTTGCTTTTATTGAGATCCAGGTTGCTGAAGAGAAAATTTCAGTTACTCATTTGAAGCAGGAATGGTAAATCACACACAAAAAAAAAAACCTTCAGAGTTGCCTTTTGGCATCTAAGGCATCATCCTGCCAGCTGCCCTATAGTCTGTAGCGTCTTGCAAGAAAGCCAGGGCGGGCACTACTCACATTGCTCCAATATGAAAGGAAGAAAAGTAAGACCAGCAAGGTTATCATGTCAGGAGAAAAAGGAAGAAGGTAAAAAAGCCCCAAACATAAAGTGGTGGTAGACAGATTTAGTAGCGTAGGAGTGGGTTATTTCTTTCATCAAAGAGCAGAAGGGGGGTCTTATTTGTTCTTGAACATCTCACACTGGCATACAGTGAATGTTAAGAAATTAGCTGCAATACGCTACAGTTTTACCCCTGACCACTGTGAAAGATACCTGGCTTAATGCCTTGGGGTTTCTCCTGCCTTCATGGTGTGGAGGGTCCAGGAAGTTTCTTACATGCAGAATTCCTTGGGCAGGGGACTATTATCCAACAGCTTCATAAAGCCATTAATCCTTCATATCTAAGATAATATTGAGAAAATAAAGTCATTTAGTTACCCCATCTTCCCTGTTTCTTCAGTCTGATTTGGAAGCATCTGAAGCCTTCTCCACCCTGACTGGCAAGTTCAGAAAACTCTAAGGATTTGTTGACTAATATTTCCTTTCCTGTTGGAATCTGCTGAGCTCTGCTATTGCAAATGCTGCTGCTTTAACTGCGCTTGGATGAGAATAAACCAAATCCACTCTATTGTTCTTCTGTTGCTCTTTATTTTACACATACTGCGTTTTGCTGCTCTTCTGAGTGATTGGCAGCGTGCATTAAAATGTATGAATACGAACATGCATTTTGTTTGCCACAGACTATTTCTATTGAAACCCAAGACTG